AGACCCCCCTGCAGTGCTGCGTTCAGCTCTGGGGTCCCCAACATCAGAAGGACATGGAGCTGCTGGAGTGGGTCCAGAGGAGGCCACGAAGATAATCCAAGGGCTGGAGCACCTCTGCTCTGGAGACAGGCTGAGAGAGTTGGGGCTGTTCAGCCTGGAGAAGAGAAGGCTCCGGGGAGACCTTCCAGCACCTTCCAGTGCCTAAAGGGGCTACAGGAAAGCTGGAGAGGGGCTTTGGACAAGGGTGTGTAGTGATAGGACAAGGGGTGATGGCTTTGAACTGGAAGAGGGGAGATTGAGATTAGATCTAAGGAAGAAATTCTTCCCTCTGAGGGTGGTGAGGCACTGGCACAGGTTGCCCAGAGAAGCTGTGGCTGCCCCATCCCTGGCAGTGTTCAAGGCCAGGTTGGATGGGGCTTTGGGCAACCTGGTGTAGTGGAGGGTGTCCCTGCCCAGGGCAGGGGGGTTGGAACTGGATGATCTTTGAGGTCCCTTCCAACCCAAACTGTTTGTGATTCCATGATTCTACGATATCATACAAAAAGCGTTTTGGTCAACATCCATTTCCTTCCTGGCAGGTTTGTCCAGCACTTCACAACTATTAAGTCTCACACTGGAGCTGGCAGAGCGCACACTCTTCAATTACTATTTAAAAGCCATGGGACATGGCTTAGTTCTCCTAAGCGTAGGATGCAAAGGAAACCACAGAACTTCATAACCTTGGTGCAATAACTCACCTGCAGGCTTTCAGCCTCCAATCCTTGAAGCCTTTCTTGCAGCTGAAGCTGCAACCAGCAGTTTGTTACCTCTAAACAGGTCCCGTGGTGGTTTCGTGGGTGGAGAACAGCCCATGGCCCACTCGCTCTGGGATTTCGCACGGAGAGTCTAGGGAAGGTCACGCACACAGCAGATGCTCACCTGCCTGGGTTGAAAATAGGTCTGTGCTCCCTGTTATTGATCAGGTTTTTCCAACTGTACTGAAATATTTTTAATTTTTTTTTAAATAAGCTTTTGATGATATCACTATTTCCTGATCACAAACGCCCAAGAGGAAGGAAAGCAAGTTTGGGAAAAAGTAGGTTGATAAGAGCCTGACTGCCAGCCTGTTCTCCCATGCAATGGCAACATTTTGTCCGAGCCTCTCAAATCCCTTTCCGTCATTTAAGGTGATCTCGGAGCCTCAGCTCACTTTGCTGTCACCCAAAATAATTTTCTGACCTATAAAGATTTGCTCAGCCTGATTTCAGGCGCAAGGGCTCAAACGAAGAACTATATTTAAAAAATTCTACGTCTAAACCACTTCTCAACGATCATCTGTTTTCTTGAGGTTTTTTTTTTAGTTCGTTTTGGGTTTTTTTTTTAAGAGAACAGGAAGCAAACGCTAACGGAGAAGGTTCCACATCAAACGTTTCTGGTGCACCATGAGGAAAGCCACCGCGGAGGCTCCCGCGGCGCTGTTCTCTTTGCCCTCTCGCGGGGCGGCGCGGGAATTCATTCGGAAGTCAAGCCATGCCTATATAGCATCATCCAGCAGTTTGGAAACAGCTGCTTGAAGTAGCAACGAGCAGGTTCGGCATCACCGCAGGAAAAGCCAGATTTTTTGGGGCTCCCAATTATTTACAGATTTCACCAAATTATCTGTACCGTGCCGGAACCGCTGTCCCGGGGAACGGCGGCACACACGGTGCCCACGGCTGCGATCCTGCCGGTGTCCAGAGCTGTTTATGGGGCGTAAAGATTCAGCTAGAACTGAAATATCGTTATTGAAACACGCAGGTTTGGGAATCACCGAGGGCTGCTTACCTCTCCAACGCTTCCAGGAAAGAAGTTTTGTCCGACCAAACTCTTATTGGGCCAAGCGCTATTTTAATCCATCGCTGCCGTCATCGTCCCAGTGAAAATGGAAAAAAATAAATAATAAAAAATTGAGGCAGCCACCTGGAAAACACACAAACGTGTTAAGGAAATTCAAAAATGTATAGATCATCGGTAAGCGGAGAGAAAAGCTAATTCTGTTCCAGCTTGCTATTGGATTCGGAGGCAGGCAGAGAAGAATCCG